CTTTGAATTAATGTATTTCAATTCCTTTTCAGTTTTTATAATCAGTGAGACACTTTTAACTAAAAATCATTGTGCAGTGCACAAAAAAAAAAAATTTAACTGGTCACTCTGAATAACTTTTGGTCTAATGATCAGATTTACACGTTCTAGGCCTCAATGGTTCTGACCTTCGAAATGTGTGATGTAGCCGCAATCTGAGAAATATGGTCTCAATGGTCCCCTCAGGAAAGCAGTTGAAAGTTTAGACACCAAATTTTTTTTGGATTTTGTCATATCTTGGTATCTTTTTTATGCGAATTGAAACATTTTTGCACACAATTATAAAATTTGCCTATCCAAAAATAAATCCAAGCAAAAATTAACTTTCAGTGAATATGTATTTTTATGGTTTTATTTAATAATAGTTTCAAAAAAATTTGGAATTGCTTGGTATATTATTTTTTACATTCTTTTATAGAATGCAATTTTAAATTGAAAAATACAAATTCTAAACGAAATTTGTCAAATAATTCCTGAGGTCAAACAGTTTCTTTTAAAAAACGACTTTTTAAAAATTCGATTTTCCTGATTCAACTGAATTTTTGTATTTTGCCATGTAAAATTACATTCTTTAAAATGTTCTGTATACCTTAGACAGTATACCTTCTACAATTATCAAAATAAAATAATACTTACTGAAAGTTACTTTTTGCATAAATTTATCTTTTAACTAAACGAATTTTATAATTGTGTGAGGAAATTATTCAATTTGCTTAAAAAATTCTTGAGATATGCCGAAATGCACAAAAAATAAAATAAACAGTAAGGGTCTAAAGTTTGGACTGTTCTTCTGACCAAACTATTAGGACCATATTTCTCATATTGCTGCTACCCTCTGCATTTTGGGGATCAGTAAACCGAATCCCCCAAAGAAAAGGCATGTTCATTCAGAAAAAACATATTTTGTTTTTGTACTCTAAATTATTGTATGCATTAGTTAATCATCAAGAGTGAGTCTCGAAGGTAAAAATCTGATCTTTAAAACAAAAGTTAATAAATTTTTTTTTCTTTCTCATTGCACATTTTAAACAGACTGCTGTTTCATAACTCAGATGAAATAAACTGTAGTAAAAGAAAATTGAAAATTTTGGAATTTTTTTATACAAAATAAAAAACTAAAAAAAAAAAGTTTTTTTTTTGTTTACATCTCCGTGTGTACCAAATTAATTTACTAGAAACTGTTAATAGATAAATACTTATTAAAAGTTATTTTTTGCATAAAATTAATTTTAAATAGACGAATTATATAATTTATAAATAAGCTAATAGACACCGAAAACATGAGTGAAGATTAGATATGAAGTAATTATTGTTTACTTCATATCTAAGCAAATTGAGACTCAATAGTTAGGAAATAAATTAGACTCAAAGCAGCAACTTGTCTGCTAAGGTTTTTCCAAACATTTTATATCTTCAGATCTGACTGGGCAATCCATCTGGTTAATAGTTTCACATTCAGAAACGGTCTATGTTGGTGCGTGTTGTCACCCATTGCTATGAAATCAGAGCCAACTGAAACTAAAAAAGATGCTTAGAGCTTTAAGAATGCATCTCTACGCAGCCTCTTTCTCTGGAATGGGAAGTCCTGCATGCAGCCATCTGGTATAATACCAGCAAGGTCAATCACACTTTCTCTTCCATAATGGTTGATTCCTTGGACAGTGAAATGTATGTAAAAAAAATTTGGCTCAATCCTTCCATACATAAGTTTCAACACTTTAACTTCCTTGAAATCAACTGTTATAGATGTGAAAGTTCAATGGTCTCTAAAAATATCAAGTTGTCGATGTCGTGTTGCACTACTCTTCATCTCCTTAAAAGAGTCACTGTCATTAGAATGAGTAGAGATTTATTTTTAGAAATTTAGCAGGTTCTGACTTCATTTTAATAACATGTGGTGGGTAACTATCTCATTGGGCTAAAAAAAAAAAAAAAATTTGCAATGAGGAGATATTTGTCTGAATGATTAACAGGCAAAATCTTCCGGAAAAAAATTGATACTGTCTTGGCTGACAAGTTGCTAGTCCTTTATCACAGTGGTTCGATGAGCTGGAATAAGTATCTCTTCCTGTCTGGCTTACACTCAGCATTTAAATGCCTGACAACTCATACCTTTATTGGATTATTATATTTTTTTTTTTTTTTGCAAGAGGTAAGTTTAAATTTCTAACTATTAAAAGAGGTTCAGGGTGCTTTAATTTTGGCATTTTTTACTAAACATTTTCTTTAACAACTTTTTTATTACTAGCTAACAGCTAAACCAATGGTTTTAAGTTAAAATAAATATTAAAAAGATTCATTGAAGTTTTTTATTTTAAATTCGCTATTGTAAAAATTACAACTTGATCAAAATTGTTGTAAAAATTACAAGATAAATTGAAAGAAAATAATTTTTTAAAAAATAGATTTTAATATCTAATTCCCTACTGTAAAAAAATACTTTAAATTTTTATTTTTCATTACTAAACTGTAATTTTCTCTTAATCTATTTTATAACAAGTAATAATAAAATTACTTTATTTTTTCATCGTTAGATGGAGACACGTATCCAAATGTGGAATAATCTTCAGATTTGAAGTTCCGGAAAATTTAATGAAGACCCTTACATGTGACAGACATAGGCAGTTAAGAGCGTTATATTGGAAATCTAAATAAATATTAAAAGTTAAATGTGATTATTTATTTTTTTTAGAAAATGAATTATGTAAAAAGTTTCACCAAAAAATCACTTGAAGAATGTTATATTTGTGGTAAACTTTGTGATAACAGGCGTATATTATCTCATATTCGAACACATACCAATGTTGAGGTTCATGAATGCCAAGATTGTGGTAGTCGATTTNACTGCATCATGCTAGTGAGAAAAAATTTAAGTGTGATGAATGTGGAAAATGTTATTATGATAAAAGGGTGCTGAATCAACATATTAAAAGGCATAAGCCACCGACTATTATTTGCTCAGTGTGTGGTTAAGGTTTCTATGCACCAGCTGAGTATGATCGCCATTATATTATTCATGCTAATGTGAAACCTTATATCTGTCATATTTGTCATAAAGGATTTTCTCAATGCGGTCATTTAAAGAAGCATTATATTTGCCATGTAAAAAAGGAAGATCAGTATTTAAAACAGAAAGGAAATTATTTCGATGATAGTGTAAATGAGTCGAAGGAAAGTGGCAATAAAAAAACGTGTAAAAAAGTAGCAGAAAATATTCATTTAATAAATAAGCAGGTTAAAAGTTGTGATGATAATTTAATAAATGGAGTGAATGAAAATTGTGATGATGATTTAATAAATGAGCTAAATGAAAATTGTGATAATGATTTAATAAATGACCTGAATGAGAATTGTGATGATAATTTAATAAATGAGCTGAATGAAAATTGTGATGATTTAACAAATGAGCTAGAAGGAAAATGTGATGATTTAGCAAATGTGCTGCTTACAAATTGTGATGATAATCTAACAAATGATCAGAATATTAATTGTGATGATAATTTAACCAATAAGTTTGAAGAAAATTTATGTAAAATTAATTCTAAATATGAATTGAAAAAAGGGTGTTCTAACAAAATTGTAAGGAATAATTTGCAAAGAAAAGACTGTACTAAAGATGTTTTAACTGTTTATGATCAAATAA